GAATAGAAATGAATAGAAATGAATAGAAATGAATAGAAATGAATAGAAATGAATAGAAATGAATAGAAATGAATAGAAATGAATAGAAATGAATAGAAATGAATAGAAATGAATAGAAATGAATAGAAATGAATAGAAATGAATAGAAATGAATAGAAATGAATAGAAATGAATAGAAATGAATAGAAATGAATAGAAATGAATAGAAATGAATAGAAATGAATAGAAATGAATAGAAATGAATAGAAATGAATAGAAATGAATAGAAATGAATAGAAATGAATAGAAATGAATAGAAATGAATAGAAATGAATAGAAATGAATAGAAATGAATAGAAATGAATAGAAATGAATAGAAATGAATAGAAATGAATAGAAATGAATAGAAATGAATAGAAATGAATAGAAATGAATAGAAATGAATAGAAATGAATAGAAATGAATAGAAATGAATAGAAATGAATAGAAATGAATAGAAATGAATAGAAATGAATAGAAATGAATAGAAATGAATAGAAATGAATAGAAATGAATAGAAATGAATAGAAATGAATAGAAATGAATAGAAATGAATAGAAATGAATAGAAATGAATAGAAATGAATAGAAATGAATAGAAATGAATAGAAATGAATAGAAATGAATAGAAATGAATAGAAATGAATAGAAATGAATAGAAATGAATAGAAATGAATAGAAATGAATAGAAATGAATAGAAATGAATAGAAATGAATAGAAATGAATAGAAATGAATAGAAATGAATAGAAATGAATAGAAATGAATAGAAATGAATAGAAATGAATAGAAATGAATAGAAATGAATAGAAATGAATAGAAATGAATAGAAATGAATAGAAATGAATAGAAATGAATAGAAATGAATAGAAATGAATAGAAATGAATAGAAATGAATAGAAATGAATAGAAATGAATAGAAATGAATAGAAATGAATAGAAATGAATAGAAATGAATAGAAATGAATAGAAATGAATAGAAATGAATAGAAATGAATAGAAATGAATAGAAATGAATAGAAATGAATAGAAATGAATAGAAATGAATAGAAATGAATAGAAATGAATAGAAATGAATAGAAATGAATAGAAATGAATAGAAATGAATAGAAATGAATAGAAATGAATAGAAATGAATAGAAATGAATAGAAATGAATAGAAATGAATAGAAATGAATAGAAATGAATAGAAATGAATAGAAATGAATAGAAATGAATAGAAATGAATAGAAATGAATAGAAATGAATAGAAATGAATAGAAATGAATAGAAATGAATAGAAATGAATAGAAATGAATAGAAATGAATAGAAATGAATAGAAATGAATAGAAATGAATAGAAATGAATAGAAATGAATAGAAATGAATAGAAATGAATAGAAATGAATAGAAATGAATAGAAATGAATAGAAATGAATAGAAATGAATAGAAATGAATAGAAATGAATAGAAATGAATAGAAATGAATAGAAATGAATAGAAATGAATAGAAATGAATAGAAATGAATAGAAATGAATAGAAATGAATAGAAATGAATAGAAATGAATAGAAATGAATAGAAATGAATAAAAATGAATAGAAATGAATAGAAATGAATAGAAATGAATAGAAATGAATAGAAATGAATAGAAATGAATAGAAATGAATAGAAATGAATAGAAATGAATAGAAATGAATAGAAATCATTGGAAATCAAAATTAATTGAAATAATTTAAAATCTTTCAAAATAAATCAAAAACCAAAATAAAGCAAAATAAATCAATAATGATAATACATAAATTTTTCAAGATTTATTTTAATAGACATTCCAAACAAAATGGTTACCAGTGGGTTTTGACAGGTTGTAATACGAAAAAATTATGGCAACTCTGTAGGCCGATTTGAAAGGGACAATGACATAGCCAGTTATACAGATTGTTTATCCATGTTTTTCAAAAATAAACACAAGCCTATGCCTTGAAGTAAAAAATTTAGGTACTTTTTTGTACTATATTCAAAAGCTGAAAATTGGTTTGTAAACACATTTTTACTAAAATGATCCTGATTAATGAGCATTTGCGAGGCAATATGTCCACCCGCTTTGAGCAATCTATATAACTATATATGTATTATTGACCCTGTCAATAACAGGCCCACAGGATTGTCATATCTAAACTGTCAGTTCTCATTGGTCAGCATTTTGACAGGTCGTTGGAATGCCTAATTATATTTAAAAAATTTAAGATTGTTCCTATTTTTCATATAATCTAAGTGTAAAAATATAAAAATAACATTTTTTTGCAAATAAAAATCTGTTTTTTTCTAAAGTGTAACTAAATGCTTAAATAACATTAAATTGTTATATGCATTAAAACCATTTGTAAGAATAGGAAAGCTGCTTGCGGAATTTGAAAATATAGGCGATTAATTATATACTTCTCGACTGTGTACGTATAAAGGGTGTTCGATAAGTACGGTACATAACTTCAGGAGCGTATTCTGGAGCTAAAATAAAGGTATTTTTGTCATATACACTGTCTCAAAAATACTTTGTTACGGAAATACAGGGCGTGAAAGTTTTCAGCTATTACCTTGTCCGCACGCCACTGGTTAAACGAAAGCCGTTGTGTTTCCAGTAAAACACGCAACGTTACTAGCTCTCAAAAGCTGCAAAAATTTAATAAAAATATCTCAAGAGGTTTCGGAAATATTTAAAAAAAATGCCGTAATTATTCGTAATGACTGCAAATCTGGGAACAATGAGACCATTTTCTGGAGCACAAGTGAGCAGAAAAAGGTTGTGATCGCAAATGAGCCAGACGCAACTGAGCCTATATCGTCAATAGTAAATCTATTTACAGGATTTTATTGACTTTCTTTTAGGACAAGAACGTGTTCATTTCAACACATTAAATTCATGTAATTATAAGGGCAGAATCAATAATTCTGATTAAACATTTAATTAATCAAAAAAGATTCTGTTCAATATGACAGAGACACTCCCAACAGTGTACTTAGGATCTGAACTAAGGGGGACAGACCAATAAAAAAAGCACCACAATTTTTCTTTTTATTAGTTGTTAATAATTACATTCTATAAATTTGTAGTATAGTAGTGGTTTATATTTTTTTTTTATACGTATATATATTTTCTCTACTTTAGATGTACGATTATTATGTTTTGTTTTAAATTTCTAGGAACTGTGAGGGGGGAGGGAAGTAGCCCCTCTTTCCCTCGCTGGGTACGCTCCTATCACAATTGTTAAATTTTTCAGCTCACAAAGTACCGGTCCTTTGTGTTAAAATTAATATATCTACTTGTATTAGCAGATTATTTTTATGCCAAATATAATAACTAGTCGCTAGCATACATTTTGTAACTGTACATGTGGTGTTAACTTACTTTTATTTCAATCGCATATTATTATGATTATTTTGATCTAGTAATAAAATGAGTTTGTCAGTAAGTAAAAAATAATTAAAAAGTATTTATATAAATTATATATAAAGGTTATTAACATAAAACTTTTTTCTTTTTCGCAACTACCCTACCATCAATTATTACACATTTTTTTAAATTAGAGCGAATCAAAATTGTAGTCCAACTTAAATTAAAGTATCTTAAAAATATCTTTCTGCCCTTACAATATAAAAAATCCTCAATAATAAACAATTAACGAATAGTAAATCGGTTTTGCTACTTGACCGTAACATAATGTGTCAGAATACCGATCCAATACCAAGTTATTGAACAAAATGTGTTGGCACATTCAAAAAGTCAAAATTGACATGACTATCATATGTGTTACACACTTTTTATCATTTAAAAAAAAAAAAAATTCTAAAATTTTTATTATCATTTTTTACAGCTATTTTTTTTTTCTTTATTTTTTTACAATTTTTTCCATTTTTTTTTTTAATTTTTTTTACATTTTTCTTCATTCTTTACGTTTTTTTATTTTCTTCTTTTCATATTTTTATTTGGTTCTATTTTTTTTTTCCTTTTCTTTTTGTTTCAATTTTTTTTATAATTTTTACTTTTTTATATTTTTTTCAATTTCTTTCATTAAAATTTTTTGTTTTTATTTTTTCCAATTTTTTTTTTCATTTACAATTATTTTTTTAATGTTTCCCTATTTTTCAAATTTTCTTAATTTTTTATATTACCATTTTTTTAAATTTATTTAATTTTTTAATTTTTTTTTCATTTATCTATAAATGCTTAATTAAACGGATAAAACTAAAGATTGTCCACACTTTAGCTTTTAGATTAATTTAAAACCACAATTAAGGAGGTCCTTTCGCCACACCTCTCGCCTCAAATGTTAAAAAAAAAGTTATTAGATTATGACTAAAATTAATTTTTTTTCTAATAGTTGAAGTCCTTATTTATCTAATACTGAACTTTTAACTATACCTTACCTTGCAAATTTTTGAGAATTTTTTTTTAATAATAGTAAACCGTGGAACTTATTGAGAAATTAATATTAAAAAATCACAAAAAAATTTCAAGTAACCTAGTTGAAAATTTTTTGTGATTTTTTAATAATAATTTCTCAATAAATTCCACGGTTTACTATATATATTTGATTGTATAAAACAAAATCTAAATATTTCAAAAACCTTATTTTTAGTTTTTTTCTACTCCATCTAATCAATAAATAATAGTAAAATTAATTATAATTCGAAAATTGTTGTTGAAGTCTTACTTTCTCATAAGAAACTGTACAAACACACACATTTTTAAAAAAAAATTTTCTCAAAAATTTGCACGGTGAGGTATAGTTAAAAGTTCACTATTAGATAAATAAGGACATCTACTATTAGAAAAAAATAAATTTTAGTCATAATCTAATATTTTTTATTTAACATTGGTGGCGAAAGGACCTCCTTAAATGAATACCTGTGTTGTAATAATGGTAGAATTGTTGCTAAAAATTGTAATAGATTCAATATATTTGACTCCCATTTTAAACCCTAGTTTTGAATTCATCAACACTTACTAATAATGTTACTACTGCTATAATCATTGCGGCTACTGCATACCAATAGTCGATAATCCATTTCTTAAAACTGGCAATACTTTCTTCAGAGAGCAATAATTTACGAAGTGTGGCTAGAGGTCCTGATGGATCCACTTCTCGGCACATTTGGAAAACATCACAATAACCTAAAATAAATGGTATTACAGTAGTAGTTTATGCAAGAAGCAATTTTAAACAAACTACCAAATTTTCTTGGTATTTACCACAACATTTCTTAATTATTAGGTGAATTTATGGAAGTGATTAGTATAGTGACAAGTGGTAATCGCTTAAACGAATTGGTAATAACCGTGGTTATAAGTCAATTCAATTTAACTTATCTTTTTCGCCATGTTTATGTTTTATTGTTACAGATTTTTATTTAAACTATATTGTTTATTGTCCAGCAAGAAAGAATGGATCCAAAGAAGAAATTGGTCTCTGAAGTATTTCCATTCGATATTTTTACTCATCCAATAATCATCTACATTTTTGAATGTTATTAATGTTTAAAAATATGCATGTTCCTAAATCACTTACCAATATAGTTGTTGCAAGGCGTTCCAGGTTTAGAATACATATCGGGTATATCGTAGGGCATGTCGTTCCATTCAAACGAAGAAAGGCAAGGTTGATTATCACCGGGAAGCTTACAGCACAATTCACACGCTTTTGTTTTGGGATCACTCTTCGACGGAATGCATTGACACGATTCCAAACCGTATGCCAAGCATATGGAACCGGTGCATTCCTAAAAACAAACTTAATTAGGGCCGATCTTTTCACCTCTGAGTAAAGTTACGTGTAGGTTTACTTGACAGGTTAACAAACAATAGTCCTAAAGTGTAGTCCAGAAAGTAATTACTTTCAACTTTACTCAGAGGTGAAAAGATTAGCACTAGTGTTAATTTATGATTCAGAACACTTTTTGTTGCACGAAAAATCTGCAGTTAAGGTGAAAAAATGAAATTATTTATTCATGTCCACACGTCATACTTTATTATTTATTTTAGTTGCTTTATTTCATGGCGTAAATGTAATAATGTATTGATTTTAAAAATATTTTTAATGTCAAGAAGCCGTTAAATTCTTATCTATATAGGTACTACATTTAACAGAAAAAGTTATACCTGTTACAATTAAAAAAAAAATCTTATGTTCTCTTAAGTTGAACAAATAAAAAAAATAAAAAAAAATAAAAAAAAACAAACAAAAAAAAATAGTAACAACAAAAAAACGAATAAAAACAACAACAACAACAACAACAACAACAACAACAACAACAACAACAACAAAAAACGAATAAAAAACGAATAAAAACAACAACAAAAAAAACAAAAGGAAAAATATATAACACAAAAAAATAACATAAAAAAAGAATAACAGAAACGAACGACTAACAAATACTAACAGTGGATTGTGGATTTGTAATTGTATGTATCCAAACAATGTAAATTAGTCTGGACAATTGGCAATGCCAAGGCCATAAATTTTAAATAAAAAAAGTTATACCTGTTAAAATATTACAAAACCATTTTTTTAACGATCATGTATATTGTAAAAAGAATACATGTTTGCTCGAACCCCTATAATGAATAAAAACAAAATTGAATTGTTTTACATATTTTCCATTAACATTTATAACTTATACCGTTTCTAGTACGCTTACATTCAAAATTCATCCCCAATAATTACATCATATTATTATCCAAAAATAGAACACATTCTCAGCTTGAGTCTGCATTTTACGTCTGTCCTTTTCCAAACGCAAAACAAGCACGGCAAATTTTACAACAGAAATGAATCTGTTTTGTCATTTCACGTTTATAGCGGATCGTATTTGTATCTGTAACGTGTGGAAGATCGGTTACTTCCCACGGCATTAGGCCTTACTAGGCCTATTATACATCCTCCTAAGATAGGCACCTCCTAGCTCGTGAGCCAGCCTATAGATTTAATGTAGTAGACAACGTCGCCAAGAGGTACTTCTTTTATATCGGCCGGTGTTAGCCGATACGCGCCGAACTCATATCTTCTAACAAATGAGAGCGTCGAGCAATCGTAGAGGATATGCTCGATGGCCTCATCTTCTTGTTCGTACCTTCTGCACAGTGTGGATTATGACAGCCCCATGATATGGAGATGCTTCCGTACTTGGCAATGACCAGTCAGAACGCCTGTGACTAGGCTCAGATTCTGTCTAGTCATAGCCAAGTATTTATTTGCTGCAGTGTTGTTAGGATAACTTAAAAGCTCCCTGGCAATTCTGCAGTTTCTTATTTCATCCCATCTTTCCTTGAATTTCACAATGGAATGTTCCTTAATTAGGTCTGTCACTACCGAAGCTAGATATTGCCCATCTAATTTTTTCGTCTACAATGTGTGTGGCAGTTTGCCAATAATAGACAGATGGGTTGCATTCTTCCTCTGCCCAGTCCGCCACGTCTGTGATGACCGAGTCAGGGAAGTGTGTTGACAGCAGAAGCTTGATGCTATCTTGTTGGCTGTTTTCGTGCCATCCTCTTTGATAAGCGCACCAATAACTCAGTGTGGATCTTTTGAGAGAGCCTTTTGAAGCCTCTGTGCCTGCGGAAATCTTCGATTTGTTCGCAGTAGGATCTCCATGCATCTCTCTGTTTTTGTCTGACGATTTTTTGTATTCTCTAAGGTGAGATTTATCCATCTATGCCAATATCTATACCCATACACCAAATAAATAATTTCTTCCATACTTTTTACGGTCTAATCAACCTCATTGTCGTATTTATCGCGAAAAAATACCAACAGTCATTATATTTATTACCCCTTTACATTATTTAATATCATTTTTTATACAAAAAAATTAAAATTATATCTACTTATGTCGGTGGAAGACGTAGATTGTTATGGAATTCAGTAGAAAGATGATATTTTAAAAACTTTTTATGTTTATACCAAGTGTTACGTGAAATTAATTTAAAAATAATTTCAAATTTATTTTTAACAACAACTTCTCCATAACCCCTCGTAACACAACTTAAACGACCACCTCTCGCTTTGCTTCTCGATTTTTACAAAGTACGGTTTGCGCGCATCGGTTTTTCTACATTCACGCTAGTGAACTATAAAACACCGCTGCTGTCGCCTGGGTCATTATTTACTATGTCCCTCTACGCGGACGCTACAGCGATATCGGCTACGAGCACACAGCCAGGACTCATATCAAGATATCTACAAGACGCAGAGGAAGACATAGAAGAATGGTGCATTAGATGGAAGATAAAGATCAACGCAGAGAAGACACAGGCTGAGATGTTCAAGAAGAGGCATCACCCCCCAGGAGAAGAAGTAACAATGAATGGACAGGACATCACATGGACCAACTCAGCCAGGTACCTAGGAGTTATAATGAACTAAAGACCCACCTTCACCAAACACGTGGACATGGTAGTAAAGAAGACGAAACAGATAACATTCAGACTTAATTGCCTAATAGGACGCAGGAGCAAACTACTATTACAGACAAAAATGAGGCTTATACAGGCAGTCTTAATACCCATCCTCATGTACGCCTCGACGGCATGAGGATACACCTGTATAACAAACAGGAAGAAGATCCAGACTTAGCAGAACATCAACTTGAGATGGGCCTCAAATGCCTACAGATACACGGGAAACGACATAATCAGGAGGGATCGAGAATCCAAAAGGGTCCTCATCCACAAGAAGGCCACTGACACTTTCGAAAAACTAAGGACTCACCCGTACATAGAACTAAGAAAATTAATAGAATACGAGAGAGCGGACTACAGAAGACACGCCATACCATGCAAGGTGCTGGATTATGGCGGCGAGTGACCAACCCTTGGGTGTAAAATTCAAGACGCTCATAGATTTAAGACTTTCTTTCAGCATTATCTTTCAGAATACCCGATAGAGCGCATCACGCGAATCAGACAAGGACTGAGCAACTGACGACTAACCACCTGGGGGAGAAGGTCCTCCCAGTCGCCAAGTAGGAGACTGGGAGAGCTTTCACAGGTGGCGACTTTCACAGAACATGCACACACAAGACAAACAAACGGACGATCAAACAAGGAAATGCCCTCAGGAAACCCTGTCTAATTGGTGATAATATGTTATCCTTCACAGTCCTTTAAGAAGGAATGGCACACTAATCATAGGATGGAAATTGAGGCCTCCTGTAGCGATGATGTCAGGGGGAGACGGTGCTGTCAGGAGGGTATCGGTCCAGTGTAACAGGATGGGAACCTTCCCAACTTGGACTCAATAACTGTTTGTGTGTGTGTGCTGGATCATTCTTTTTGGTTTATCGAATTCAATGTGGCAGTTTGTGCCGATAAATAAGTTACTATGAGTAGTTTTTCATAATTATCTTGTCTTTTATGTGTTTATTGTGTGTTAACGTTCTGATATTTGTCAGGTAATGTTTCTTTCAACTTATATTTTAACATTTTGCTGGATTTCGTTGGAAAACCGAAAGGATCGGCCATTTGCTTTTTCTTATTACCATCATGCCGGTTATTATTACTGTCTTATTTTATGTAGATTATAGCTACCCTACCTAATAATATTTTTAAGCTTTCTTTGATACTTTGATATATACGCGGGGAGGCAACTAAATAATTGAATTACAAGTGTCTGGAAATACAGTTTAAACGGAAATCTATGGCTCTTAACTTATTTTGGCCTTATAAATAGCTTATATTTTGTTCAGATGATGTAAAACTTATTGTCATAACTTATTTTGGATTTATAAATATTTTATATTCTGTTCAGACGTTGTAACTTTAATATTTGTTCCGTTTATGCATAAGTCCGTCAGATTTCCAAACTGGAATGTATATGTAATGTACTTTTACTGTTACTGAGGTTCTTTTTATTTCTAAACCTGTAGTGGTTTCAAGAAGTCCCGAGTTACGTAGCTGCTCCTAGAAGCTTTAAGCTCCAAGAAACTCCAAGCTTTAAACTCCAAGTTCGAGTTGCGTAGTTCCTCCAAAAAACTCAGAGTTACGTAATATCTCCAAGTTCCGAGTTACGAGCTCTAAGTATAAGTTTCAAAGGCGGATTGTCCACGACATACAACAGGGAAGTACCGTATTAGAATGCCACATGGTCTAGACAATTAAACATTTTATCTATCAGTTAATTTTATTCATTCATTTATTCAAATTTAATCATTAACTATTAATTTATTATATACAAATTTATTCTTTTTACTTTTTTTTATTAAATGTATCAGAAATTGACTCAATTAAACAGGATATATCAAATCAAATAAGTTTTCCAAGTTACTCAAAAACTTGGTGGGGCTCAACATTTCTGTTGCTATCGTATTATAGTATCTTTCATTTTATCGTAAAGTAGACTTTGGCCCGCCAATCGGTCTAGCTACTCTGATTTCATTTGTCCTGGTCAATTTATGAATCCACGCAGTTATCAGCAATTTGAGCTAAATCACCTCTTAAGTACAATTGCCATTGAATGCTTTTTTATCAATTTCTTACTGGAATTTTAACCCTCCCGCAATCCTTTGTTTTACAATTATTGGAATAGAAGACGATGATTTTACTGTTAGATATTATTTAAAAAACTCATTTAAAATATAGAGAGATTGAGAAAATGGTTCATTGAAATCGGTCGTTACCTCTCGCACTATCAGATATTAATATTAAAAATGCATTATCAAATAAGTAAAATTATCGTCACTCTATTTGACATCCCCTTGTAAATAATGTTTAATTTATCATGTTATCACCATTATTAATAATTTTGTAAAACGAAACCGCGCCAGGATTTTCTATAAGATCCTAGGGATACAGTTGTGTTTACTGGGACAGTTACCCGATATATTATCTGAAAGAGAAACTTTAAGCCCACTTTACGTATTAACAACAGCTTCACGGCAACTTACCCCCATGAAACAGACGAACTCCTTGTTACAGATGGTTTTGTTTGGTTTATTGATCGATGGAGGGCATTGTGGGTCCCTGCCATTGCAGAAGCTCTCATCCCTACACCCATTGTCATCTCTGCATTTGTCTCCGAATTTGACTTGACAATTCGACGTGCAGCACGGTCCCTGAACACACACAAAATAAATAGATGTTGAATAAATAAGTAGATTACGAAGTGTGTACGTTAATGTAGACAGGTATTGTGTTGTTTGCAAAGGCTACAAATGTGAGAGGTACTTAGATTTTGTAGAGGGTGTTTAATAGTAATTCGAGAAAATTAATAGATATATTATTGTGTTTCGCTATATACCTAAGTTTGAATTGGTGCTACATAATAAAGTTTTTCAAGAATCAATTGTTGTTTATATCGGTATTGACACATTTCACTGTTTGTGTACATAACATTCTATATTTACCTCAAATACTCAAATTAAATATAAATAACTGACATTCTGGATTTATTTAAATCCAGTATCTACCCTTTTTTTGCATTACTTTTTCTTTCTTTTGGGTCTCTAATATAATTTTAAATAGCATCGCAAAAATTGAGTAACAATTTTCAACAAAAACTTGGAAATGGTCAATTTTGTTTGTAGGGGAGAGTGTCGTACCTTGGGACGCATGTTCCTCGGAACCTAAGGGGCCACAGCCGATATCTTTCAACATTCAGTGGAAGCGATCGAACAGGCAAAAGTGGTATGCAGACGGTTGACCTTCCCAGTGTGATTTAAAATTCGAAACCGTACACGTGCTCTGTAAAATATTTTCGTTTTTATGCTCACTAATTTTACTTTCTCACATCTGTGTGTGTTCGGATCCTGTTTTGGAGTTTCAACAAAGTCGGACAATGTAATTGTACTTCAGTATCTTTTCTTTCTTTTGATGATATGAAATACCTGCTTTTTTTAATCTACAAAATGTTACGAGCCGAACTCAGCAAAGATACATAACATATACCTTGGGACAAAAAAAATTGCATGAACTTTGGGACTGTCCTAAGGTACATGCAATTTTTGTTATTGTAAAACATTGAAACCGAAGATGTTATTACTATTTTTATATTCTGATCCTGAAGGCGAATTAGAATTCAAATTTACAAGAACTGTGCTGCTAGCTCAAAACTAGAGATAGTCTATTTTAATGCCACTGTAAGCCGGAGAGTGGCATGGATTCTTAAAGAGAAACTTAATATGCTAGTGTGACCAAATAATAACAATGAGTAAGTAGTGTTTTTCTTTAATTTGTACAATAAGTAGGTAGTTAGGTAGATAGTGATAATTAGAAACCCCAATTGTATTTAACAAATACCGATAGGTAATAAATCCCCCTTTGTAGTACTACCAAGGTTCACACGTTTTAAATATATATGTATGTCACTATTTAATTAAATGTTCTTATTTTTCTTGCAGGTTATACGGCTGCTATTAATCGGATGAATATAAAATTGAAAAGCTCTTACTTGGCGAGATCGGTTCCTAGCGGCGTCTACAGCTATAACAGCTATGATATAATGCAGTCAAGTGCTGGTAAAGGAAGAAGTAGGTTCCAGCCACCAATCCAATATATACGGCACGTGAGTGGTACTTTAGAAGAGACTTAAGGAGGTGCTCTATAGTGAAAGTAGTAATCGGCTCTACGAGCAGCACTAAATAATATCTGGTAATACTAGAAGCTAGATGACCAAAGCTAGATATTGTAGAGACTTAATGTCGACACTTAATGGCCGGAGATCAGAAGCGGCCCCTTTTAAGATAAGTATAATTATCCCCAACTGGGTAAATCCACTTAGATTAATGTTATATATACTTAATTTGTTAGATGTTTGCTTAAACTTAATTTATTTTTAGGTTGAACAAATCCGAACAAAGTTCGAAATTACCTAGGAGTTTATTGGTGATGCCAAAATATTTGACCATAGTAGGCCTTTTAGCCAGGTACAGGCATACCTAGTTGTAAAATGTCTCTAGAATAAAAGAAGAGCAGAGTTCAAAGGTCACTAAAGTAGTTCAAAATAAATGTAAACACTGAACTAGGTTATTTTAAACAATAAACAGTTAAAATACAAATGTATCCTTTTTGATTTTTCCTGAAGTAATTAACTATTAAGTAATTAAATAATAACTAATTAATTATGTTTAACATAACTATTCAATGGTAATTGTATTAATTTATAATTCATCGATTTAAACCTATAACAATGTTCTGTGTGTTGTTTTTTCTCCAACTTTTCATTTTTTTACAGATTTAGCAAGATACCACGAAGTAAAACTGGCAAAAAGAGAAATCCTGTTGTTATTTCTAATCTCAAGTTAGCTGTTAAAGACGTTCTTCAGCATAGTGCAGCACGCCACATTAAGCTTCACCGCGAATCCGGCAAACACGACTTTGAATACATAGCTACCAATGCCGTAAAAAAAATGTTCACAGAGGAAGAAGAGAAGTAGCTTGAGGACTATTTGTTGTTTTCATCTCAACTCCATTATGGTTTAACCAAACAAGAAATCCAGTATGCTGAAAGGAATAACAAGAAGAACATGCCAGAAATATGGAAGAAAGAGAAAAGAGCCGATAGAGAGGGACTTCGCTGGTTCCTGAAACGTCATGAAAAATTGTCATTTCGAAAAGCGTGTCTGAATTTTTTGACAAACTAAAGAAATGCCAAGAAAAATACAAGTTCTCGGCGAGTAATATATGTATATAACGTCGACGAAACTGGCAACAGTACGGTTCACGTTCCACCTCGAATTGTTTCTGCTAAGGGAGTGAAACAAGTAGGCTCTATGACGTCAGGCGAACGTGGAATCAACATTACTATGATAGCCTGTATTAGTGCTATAGGAAACCACATTCTCCAATGCTTATTTTTTCGAGAGTGCATTTCAAAGAGCACATGTTGAACGGAGCGCCTCCAGGTACCACCGGAGCTGCTTATCCTTCAGGGTGGTCAAACGAAGAAAAATTTTTACACTTTATGAAGCATTTCATCGCCCATGTGAAAACATCAAATGATAATCCCGTTCTTCTGCTGTATGATAACCATGAGAGTCATATTTCACTTCCTATGATTGAATTGGCCAATGCGAATGGTGTTGTATTGCTCACATTTCCACCGCACACATCCCACAAATTACAGCCCTTGGATAGGACTGTGTTTGGTGGTTATAAGACTTTTAACAATCAAGCTGCTAATGAATGGATGCCTCAAAATCCGGGAAAACCAATTAGTCTTTACCAAGTTGTCGAAATCATTGGAAAGGCATTCACCCAGCAAAACATCACGAATGGGTTTGCGGTTACAGGTACTTGTCCCCTAAATTTCGAAATTTTTGGCGATGACGAGTTTTTAAGCGCTTTCGTCACAGACCAAGCAGACCCAGCTGAAGTTATAACAGAACGAATTGATAATCTTGACAAGCCTGGGCCATCACATCAAAGCATAGAGACCCCAGAAATGATAAGACCCTATCCAAAAGCTGCACCTAGAAGGACAAAAGGAGGTAGAAAGAAATGCAAATCCAGGATATTAACGAAAACACCAGAAAGAAATTTTTAAAGAGACAAGCAACAAAGTCTAATCATAAAGTTCGAAAAGCGACAAAACAAGTTTTTGATGAAAGCTCAGACGTTGATGTAGAAATAGGATCTGTGCAGACGATTATTTGGAAAAACTAGTTGAAGATGCAAATGCCGAGAGAAATGAAGAAATAACTATGGAAAATGAAATGATATTGGAAGGAGACTTCGTGTTGGTAGAACTGAAGGGAAAAAAGACTACAACAATGCATAACGGAAAATAAAAATATTTTAGAAGACGGTTTTGATGTTGTTTATCTGAAAAAAAAAAATAATGAACAGTAACAAATTTGTGAAGACTGAGCAGATTTATGAAATAATCGAATCAGAAATTGCCAAAACTATCGGTCGTGGATCCGAACGCCTAAATGAACAATTATCATTTCAAATAGACTTCATGTTTTTTAACATGTACTAGATAAAAGATATTGTGTATATGGGTATCTTTTTCTTGTCATTCGCCTTGTATCCCCATTTATTGGTCTTGTCCCGAGGAACATGCAAGGATATCCCGAGGAACAGGCAAGGATATCCCAAGGTACAAGCCCGGTTGTACCTTGGGACATTTTGCAATATATTTTGTCATTCAAATGTCATAAATATTTTACAGCATATTATTCCCAATAACTCCCCTCTAAATAGCAAAAATATCACTTAGTACGTAAGACATGATTAAATTAATTTATATTTGAAAATATTATATATATATATATATATATATATATATATATATATATATATATATATATATATATATATATATAAAATTCAAACTAATTTATTGGGGGCAGCAGCAATATATAATAAAGAAAACTCTTTAAAGATGATCCAAGCTTTCGGAAATTTTAATAACTTATTTCCATCTTCAGGGAATCTACAAAAGGTGTGGTGTGTCTTCATAGGAACATAATATTATTAAGAGAGTGAGTTACTTACATCTTTGTGAGGATGAATTATTAATGATGTTAAATGTTATGATTTTGATGCACATATAGAATTAAAATTACACAGTTTTACAATATAACTTAAAATTATTGTGGTTTAAATTCAGTTTGAAATTTAACTGTTATGTCAATTTTTGTGTCATTCGTTGTTTATGTATACAAGTGTGTTAGATTAAATATAGAAATTACTAATAAGGAACCTAGTTAGGAAGATTACTTTGTACTTAAATTATTATTTAATAAAGTTTTATCTGAGAATGCAGTTTGATTAATTATTTCATCATCAACAAAACTGTCACTAATTGTTGTGATGAATGAAAGGATGTTGTAAATTATTTCATCAAAAACAATACTGTCACCATTGTTATGATGAAAGGTTGAATATTAAAAGTTTTTTAATCAGACTTGTATCATAAAAGGTGGTCATTTAAAAAATTAGATTTCATCTGCAATAATACTGTCACTATTATTGTGATGAAGGGTTGTATTGGTGTTGAGTAAGTATGAGTAAATAGCACTTAGATGTTTTATGTCCGTCCTTTTATTAATACAATTTTGATTTTGGTATATCCAAGCCATTTCTAAGAAGAGTCTTTTATATATTTATTTATTTTTACGAATTGTATTGGTAAGTCTAAATATTACTATTCAATGTTTGTTTTATTTTAAATATACATTTGGAGAAGTTCCACGGCGTTTCAAAGTAAATAAAAAACATAGGCGGTACAAAAATATTTTGTGGAATATTATTAGTAATTTTTTATTCAGGTTTCCAATAAACCTTGAAGCATAGGCAAACATAACCTAATGATTTTTTAAATTCCAGGAAAAACATTCGAACACCTGTGTTCATTTACAAGCATTTATCGCCACATTATCATCCATCTCTCTTAATGGAAAATTACCAGCGAATTATATATTTACGTATAGCTTCGTCTCAGTTGCGCTAACATAAGAATAATAAAAAATTTACCATTAAAACACATCTACAATTACAAACAACAATATTTTTGTCCTTGTTCTGCAAAAGAGACATCAGCTTTATCATTCGATGTACCTCAATAATCAAAACACGTCCACTAACGCAACAGCACTTATCAACGTCTTTGCATTCTTGTGTCGCAACTCAACGGTAATTTTTTTCAGACATTATTCATACAATCTAGGAATGAACTGGCTAGATACTAACGTCAAATTTCTGAAATTATTTACTCTTGAAAAACGAAGGAATGTTACTATTTTTACATAAGTTGTTAAATAGTTTAATAAATTGTCCGGAACTGCTTGATTTATTTTATTTTAATTTTGTATCAAGAACAAGGAATTGACCATTGTCATATAAAAATGGGCATTTAGCAAATTATGGTCGTCATAATTCACTTACACGTGTATTGTGTGATTTGAATAGCCTATCGTGTTCGGATGATATATTTGTTAATTTATTTAGAATGCTTAAAAGAATATTGCTAAGTTAGAGAAAAGGTTTTTAATTTATTCCTCTACTTAAACTACCGTAATTTGATTATTTCGTATAAAATGGATTTTCCGTTAATATAGTTTTTTTACTTACCTTATTTGTTATACATAGTGTAATGTAAAACATTTTTTTGTTTATTTTAAAAGGGCAAAAGCATTATACATTAGTTAAAATAACAATATACCTGTGAGGGACTGCAAGCACTTCTGGGTGTTAGCCGACATGGGGGTTCATCTATACTTGCATACCTCCTCATCGGGAAGCAGCATTGGTCTCTGCAATCTTCTTCCCATCCACAATCGCATTCTTCTCCTTCTTCGACAACGCCGTTTCCACAAATGGCTTCCTTTGGTTCTAGGTAAGAAATATAAAATAAGATGAAGAAAGTTATCATAAAAACAAAGCACAGGATACATTATTTATGTATCGTCAACAAATTATTTGCATCTACAGATTGATGCAAGCCGTTAATAAAAAGTTGACCGCAGACCCTAAAGAACTTCCAAATCAACAGTATAGCTGTTATATTAGAGTCTTTTACTTTAACAAACGTCGTTGGATTCGTAATAAATCTAGAAAAGCATACATTTAAAAGTAAGACAATCAAAATTACGTCAAAGATGGAAGAAAAACAAGCAATATGAATACCATCATCAAGACATTTATATACATATTCACAGGCAGCTGTTTGAATCGATTTTCCTAAACCCATGTTGGATCTTTATAACACTATGTAATTTAGACAAGTAATTAGTCATATTGTTACAAATCTCTAAAATAATAATAATTTTTCTTAGTTTTTTAAAGTAATTATAGCAAATCAAACAAAATTATTTTATTTTTAATTCAGCATTTTATTTAGTCCAAACATACCCAATTAAACAAATTTAAAAACGATCACAAAATACTGCCGAGTTGCTAATATAAGTAGGAAATAATTACTCAACAAAATTATATTGCTCAATTAAAATGATGAAAAAATAATGTCAGGTCATCAACCACGTAAGTTTGGTAAACTACGAAAATTTTGCAAGCAGACAATATTCAAAAAATTGGGTATGGAATTTAAAGGAGATCAGTTATAAACTCAACAGCAAAGAAGGTAGACTCGAAAAAAGATTCCACCACACCACACGAGATAATAAAGTCCATGATAAAGTAGTCAGTGACAAAGTCATTAGTAATCCAAGATAAAGTAATAAGTAATTTTGAGTAAAATAATAAGAAGGTAATAAGTAATAAGTAATTTTAAAGTTGTAATTTCGAAACGTTTTGTGGGATATGGAGACGTGCTCTAGGCCTATGAAGAATATGGTAAGTCAAAGTCCAATTATTGGAAATTTCCAAAGGTTTTTTCATACTGAGGTGTAATTGACAATAAATTGGTTATTTTTATATATTTGTATTTTATTTCCAAGACGAAACTGGTACAAAAACACGACTTCGCGACAATTTTACACTTGTATCTAACATTTTTTATTTAACAATGACTATTATTTATAACAGTTGTATAAAACGTTCATTCTTTAGCAAATACCTAACCGCAACGTTACAATAAGTTAGCTTGTAAATACCTGTAAAGCATCCTTTAGGGGATCGCGCTTTGAAATTCAACACCGGATTGATGCTCTTCAGACTGCATGGGGAAAAGCGATTATTGTTCTTTTTGTCTCCGGATGTGGCCCTGGCGAACATTATAAAGTTTCCGTCTTCGCCACCGGGGGAACATTGCTCTGGGTCGTGCTGGAACAAAAAAAAAAAATATGTATGACTTGAAAATCGGAAATTCCAATTTGATTATAATATTACGTGAAAGAAGTTCGATTTCTGGTTTAATCTGTACAAAACCAACTAAAAAGGGTTATTGAATATAAATATTTTAATCTAAAATACTTTTCTGCTTGATAAACGATGATACAAATAATATTAAACGTGTGTTATGCTCTTCGTTAGAAAGTAAAACTATTAAATTGTGTAGTGAATGCCATTGGCGCCACCAAAATTTTTTCCATGGGGGCACAAATTCAATTTTATGAATCTAACTTTAAAAGAATACCTACTGTGACAGGCTTCTGGTTCACCTACAGTGAATCAGCGAATCTGTGTGGCGCTATGATGGTGATTCCCGAATAAGGGTTGCTCAGGCGCCAGGTTTGGTATCGCAGTTTGCTCTGCGACTCTGTAGTACACCAGAGTGTACTCAAGGTAAACTCAGTGGCGGTAAAAATAATTCCAGGCGGTCACTGCTAGGTAGCCACTATACTAGAATAAATAAAAATAAAACACTTATCTCCTTTACTCCTCGTACCCTATGGTACCCTGAAAGAGAACGGTCAAGAACCAGCAATAAGAGAAACACAGGAATAGGTAATAAAATATATATTTACAAAAAAAAAATACAGCGGTGGTAGTGTACGGTTCTGGCACGGCGGTAAACGGAAAATTGAATAAAATGAATGATTACAATTTAATGAGATTACAAGAAAGTAATTACGGCTCCCTATATACAGAAAAAAAAAATAATTAAAAATAAATTATTACAATTGAAAACTAATTAAATATTGGGAAATATTTATGGTTCGCTAGCACAGGAGGCTAAGCCGTCCGGGAATCATGAAACTCCCTGTATACGGAAAATTAATGTAAAAAAAATAAATTATTTAAATATGACGTTAATCACATGTAAGAAAATAAAAGAAATCAAAGTTTTAGGAACGACCTTGTATCTTAGTTCGGACCGATCGACGCTCTGGAAATTTTCGTCGAGCGAGAATGATATGATTTACGCGGTGTTTGGACAACGAAGGCGATGGTTATAGAAAAGATTATTTTGAGATTTGCCAAAGCCGATCAAAACGGTATGTGAATTAATTTTATAGAAAACGTCGGGCTTCGTTCAATAATTAATTCGTGACGGAAAACGGAATGATTCAAATATAATTGAATGGATAAATAAAAGAAAAAAAACTTACATGAAATGAAAAATACATGTCCTCAGGCGGGAATTAATTGAAATATACTGTTTTTAAATTAATTAAAAATAAAATTTAGTGACTTCGTCACAATACATGCTCAATTTTATTTAATGAAAAAAAATATCGTACAATCTCATTTTTATTGAATATAAATATTTTAATCTAAAATAGACTTCTGCATGATAAATGATGATATAAAGGATGTCAAACGTGTATTACTCTTCTTTAAAAAGTAAAACTATTAAATTGTGTAATGAATGCCATTGGCGCCACCAGAATTTTTTTCAGGGAGGCAAATATTTTTTGTGAACCTAACCATAAAAGAATACATAGTCAATTTTATATAATAGATAAAAAATCCGGACCTCTAATGATCATTTAAGCTTATTTTTAATAATTGGTTGATAAAAGTTGTTAATTTAAAACTTTGCCTACTTTTTCGGCTCTTCCTTTATAAAAAAATTACATGTTTTAATATTTAACATTTTGAATTCAAGCATCCACGTTTACAACAAGTGTTATGATATATAGAGTGTTCAACTATGCTATACCATGATACAAATAGGAAGTGTCACTTGCAAAAACTCTTTTCAGACTATAACTGTGGCGTATTTTTTATACATTTTTATTATTGGTAAACCGCTTAAATTATCTTAAAACTGCAGTTGTAGTTTCCTGTTTCTTAAATTCCAGAAATGAAGTATTAATGTGAGATATTGATTTTTTTTTTCAGAGTGACTGTAGAAGGGAAATAGCCAGAGATAAGTGAATAATAGAGATTAATTGGTTTGAACATTGGGGTATGTGAGACAGAAGTGTGTCGTTTATTTAATTAAAAAGTGTTCAGAATTTTATGAAATAGAGTGGTAAAAACAAAAACAATTAGATTCACAGACTTACTAAACCAAGGCATAAAAATTAATGACAGTAATATGAATGAGATTTTTCGTTTTTAGTGCAATTTATAATCATTTAGATTCTTGGATATAATTATTTAATTTTTATTTACCTACCATTCATTTATTGATCTATTAAATATATTTAATTCAGTACACATAATTGTATTATTCAAATTACACGTCTGTTTAATTTACGTATTGGCAAATATGAGCAATCCTATTTTTTAAAGGTTAATTCTGCATTTGGGAAAAAGCGCACAACTAAAAAATGTTTGAATAATAATAAAACAAAGTCCAACTAATGACTACAAAGCCCTTTGAATATTGGTATTTCTTATATATAAATGCGCAATACTATACCTACCTACTTTATGATGGTAATAATAAAATAAATTGGATATTATTCTATTGTTCTGTGTCTTATTTGATGTTTTCCTTTGTTTTTGTGTTCCAATTGCGTTCTCTACCTATTTTCAACACTCAAATATACTTTTTGATCATTGTTTTTCATGTGTATACGAAACACGGCTTCTTCAATATGAAACAGAGGGTTGAGATACAGAGACGTTCAAATTTTTTTTGTTTAAACTGAAATTCTGAAAAATCGGTTATAAAATTAATAGAAAATATAGTTTTTATTTAATGGAATTATAAATAATAATTACATATCGCTCTAAATATAGTTATCTTGCTTCTGGAATTTTATTGAAACTGTTTTAAATTTTCTCAAATTTGGATATTTTTCGGGTGTATTATCATAATTTTCCTTTTCACCAACATATATTTGTACTAAAACATAGTGACATGCAAAGAGAACAAAGCGAGAATGATAATTTTGATATTTAATATTAGGGAAAAATTAATTAAACCAAGATGTGGAAAAGAAATGAAGGGAACTGAATATGACAAAAGGGCAATCAGTAATGAGCAAAAGGTGAGATGAAGGGATGAACAAATATGTTGTAAGAGTTAAACAAATAATTTTTTGAAATCTATCAAAGAATCAAAGTATTGTCATGTGTCTATTTTTACCTTTTTTTTCTTTCCTACCTTTTCATATATAATTAATTCAATAATTTTTTTTGGATTTCTTTCAACTAAATTGTATATAATCAATCCATCTATTCAGTTAATGTCTAATTAAACAATTTATAGTTTTAAAATGTCTTTTTAATGTACTAACATTGAGAATACCATAACAAGATAATCCCAATAGCCTAACTCGACAAGATCCAACTAAGGGTAAAAATTACGCAGGGTAACAAAAAAATATATTTTTTTGGTGCCTGGAATTTTAGAGCTGATTTTAACTATATTTGGGACGTTAAATCTGTACATGCAATCCGTTTTTCTCTATCAGCTCTACTTTTTTAGATACATCAACTTATCTACCAATGTGGTTTTTATTCAGTACATTCATTTATGAGAGTTCTAAAATTATTATATATTCATTAATTTAGGTACAATGGTTTTATTGTCAGTCTGTAATTGAGTAAATTCCAAGTAAATCTATAAATAGTGGAACCATTGCAAGTACAGTACAGACAGCGGTAGTGGCAACACGTTGCTTTTCAGTATTATCAGATCAAAAATATCGGTAAAAAGTGGCAAGCGAGTAAAAATTTTGGTTGTGACTAAAGTGCATATAAAAAAGAAGTACCTTCAAAAAGGTAACAACAAAATTTATCTCAAAATTAGATGAATAGAAAGAATTAAAAAGAGTCTATAACTACCGAAATTGATACCATAAGTGCGACTATCGTGTCTTCTACACCTAGCCACTTTGATAAAGGTCAACTAAATTTATACGAGGCCTGATTAATTAATATGTAAATAAAATTATGGCAGAAGAACTAACGCTAGCTGATCTATATCAGAAACTATTACTATCGCAAGAAGAGAATACAAAAAAAGTGATTAAAAGTATTGAGACTAATAAAGCTGAACTAGAAGCAAATTTGGAAATAACCGTAAGAGAAGTCAAAAAATTGCAAAGTAGAAATATTAATCTGGAACGGAAAATAAGAAAAAACAATATTATTATTTTCGGCATTAAAATTAATAAAGAGAACATATTACCTAGTACCTTGGAAACGCTGAATAACTTATTCCAAACTAATTTCATAGCAAGCGATATCAAAGATGTTTATTTCATAGGGCGTACCGAAGAAATGTAACAATTTATTTAATTTTACATTATTGTTTAAAAAAAAAAAAAAAAAAACTTAAATTTGTCAACACAAAAAAAAAATATTATTATAAATTATCACGTACAAGCGGTACACAATGTAAGTACTGCTTCTGTGAATTTGTATGTTTATTTATTTCTTGTCGTTTTTATTAATGTATTTTTTAAATGTATATTTCAGTAAATAAACATTATTATTATTATTATTATTATTATATTATTATTGCCTATCAGGTACCTGAACTGACCCTTTTAATTCCCTAACTCGGGTAAGTCTCGTCAGTTTGTGAGTTCTTACTATAGTCTATTTTTATGTATGAGAGAGTAATAAAACATCATTTCTAATGCAAAACTTAGTACGGTCATTTTAAATATTTTTACAGAATAATCTAAATATTTCCTAAAATTGTAATAAATGTACCCGAGCTATTACAAGTTTTGGGTTTTTTATTGGTCCTTTATAAACATAAGCTGTACAGAACAATAGAAAAAGGTTTGGACAGGCCAAAAGCCCTGTGTATTAAAGATTACATAGCCGTATCTTAAGATTATTTTCAATAAGTACCTATTTGCCAATTTTTTTTTATTTTAATTCCAAGAATTTCCTACAGTAATCGAATTATAAGTAGATAA